ATCCTCCCTGCGGATGGTTCTCCGGCGCTTTTTCACCCAGGCCAACATGTCCTGTAATCCAATGCACATTATAAAAAGCTGAGAATTTATGCTTCAAAAGGAAGCATATACTGAAACCCTACAGCACAACCTGACGCACATCTCCCGAGAAATTTAACTACACGGCAGGTTGAAGCAGGCGGTGACTGTTGAGATTGTTCAGTACGGTTACATTTCCAGCTACTTTTTCCATTGCGTTTTTGAACTTATCAGTAAGAATAACACTCATCTCAACATAAGGAATATTAATCACAGCATCAATATAAGGACTCACAAATGTCTGTAAATTCCTGGAGGGAGATAGTCAATTCCCTCAGGTCTACTCCAACAGTTTCAACAAAGTGGAAAAAAAATACAGGGACAAATGTTTACTCTTTGTTTAACAATGAAAAGGGACCCAGGAGGGTTAAAGTCCCAACATTTTAATTTCTCTCTATCATGTGTGCCACTGCAAAAACACTGGCAGTAAACCGCATGGTAATTAACACATAATGCACCAGTAAAAGCATAAATGTCAGCAAAGACGTTGGTCACTCAGAGTAGGGAAGGCTGCGTCACAGGCTCTACAGTCAGGCATCTGTTATCAACAAACACCGATCCAGTCTTTTTTTTTTTTGTAATATCCTTCATTGACCCTGTCGTGCATAGCTAATTTTTGTTTCCTAAACGACAGTCTATGACAGGAAACTGTAAAGTCCCAATTAGTCACAAGCAGAGGAACAAGACCCACCTTATTACGACGTTGGTGTCCTATCTGGATGCCCCGATCGAAGCTTCTCTGATGGGCCTCGACACTCTCTGTGAGAGTGAAAGACAACAACAGCTGTTCACGATTATATATAACAAAGCCAACCAAATATGGACCTCTATTTAACATTTCTCATGTTGTACGCTATTTATTACATATTTAGAAGTGGAGATGCTCTACTAAGGGACAGGCTTTGTTTCACTAGTGAATATCTGACATTGTGCTGTGTGTTTTTGGTCCCTTAAACCATGTGACAAGCTGATTAACACGGAGTTGATCAGTGATAATAACCACTTCTGTTTACCTTTTCATGTGGGGGGACAGATCAAAAACTTTTCCCAAAACTAACAAAGTTACAGCCAGAGTCTACACCGCTGGCTTAACGCACAGACACAACAGGAAGTGTAGAACCTGGTAGTCAAGGAACAAGGATGGAGGAAGATGTGGTTGGTTACCTTTGTAAAGGTTGGTGACTGCTGTAGCAGCGTTCTGAAATGGCACCCACAATGACAGGCCCTGCTGATGGCATACTCTGTCTGAAGGTGAGAGAGGAATAATAAAAATTAAAAAAAACACTTGTAATTTAAAGCAAATACCATGGTGCCATACTAGTGGTGGTCAAATGACAGCAAAGGGGTTGAAGTTGAGGATCATTTTCATTCGCCATTTTGTCTTGCATCTACAACTGCAAGGGGGACAGGGTTTGGCATAAAAATAACTGGCAGTCAGCGCTAGATGGCCAGCTTGGCAGCAGCTTGTTTAGCAGGAGAGTGCCGACACACGAACTTAACTGCCCTCTCAGCAGTTAAGTTGCAGAGCCCAGTCAAACACACACACTGGTAAAGACTTAAGCCAAACTCCTGTTTCTACGTGCCGGGGATTTATCCCGACCGATAAGAGCCAAGCTACAGCAGATTGTAGACAAACCAATATTATCCTCGCCATCTTGTGATTATAACGTTTCGCATCGGCTCAACTCGCCAGCTAGTCGGCTGTTTGAAAAACAAAACAAAGCCAGTGGACACGTATGTGCGGGCTCTTATTTCAACGCGTTTGGGGGGGGGACAACGTCTGCAACCAATCGATACCGGTGTAGCAGATGTTAACACTGACAGCACACAGCAGACTGTCATCTGGGAATGTCGCGTAGCTACGATTGTTGTTGCCATCGCCATTTTGTAACTAGCCTGGCTAACCTGACGATAGCGGCTGTCAAACTTTAGTGTCAAAGTATTCGCGTTAACTCGAACTACCTCATCGCTTCGTCGATGTGGCCACTGCTATTTGGTGCTCGGCGTAACTACACAACGCCAGGTTATATCTCACAATTCTTTGTCACCAGCTAGCCCGGACTAGCTAGAAAAAAATGTAGCATTGCAAAATTCACCTGTAAACGATAGTTTCCCCAGTACCCGGCTAGACGAGGAGTTTCCTAAAGAGCTAGCTACACTGCCGTTAATGTTAGTTTATAGGGCTCGGTGTACAGTCAGGCTGCTAACAAACAAGCCAAGGGGGGATGCAGGCACCGTTAGACGGACAAGCAAAAAGGAGAGCGCTGGGCTGGACCTTTGTATAACTGTGCCACGGCAGTGGCGGAGTTCTGGAAGAGATGCCACAGTTTATCCTGCTCGTTGTCGACGTCCTCCTCGCTCGGCTCCCTCTGCTCCGCTTCGGCCAAACACTGTCGCTCCCATTTTGAGAACCAGTGCTCGGGTCCGTGTTCCTGTATCTCCGAGTCGCCGTCTTCCTTCTTCTCCTCCATTTAATACGCCAAAAACTCGAGGGAAATTCGATTTTTAGCTTGAAAAGATGGCCGTTTCGACGCCGTCTAAAGAGTTATATGAGGGGAAATCATGAGTACTTTTATGTTTTTGTTATTTTTTTTCTTCTTTTCTATTTCGTACTACGATACTGCGTCGCCACCTACTCCTGCCATCATAAACCTAGCTAACTATTTTTCCTAGTTGCCGACGTCGGGATATATGCACCACAGACTATCCTGTTATGCACTTCCTCCCGCCCCATTACTCTACATGTCAGCGACAAATGGCCACATGAACGCTGCAGGGTGGGCTCTGGGTCTGTGCACGCAGTTTAATTGGCTTTCAGACACGTCCCTCACACCACTGACACAAAAGAAGCTCAGTGAAAATTCACTTACTTTAAGTGCTCGCTGGCAAATTTATTAAGCTAGCAAGAGACACGGAGCTCAGAGAGCAAACACATTATATTATATTATATTATATTATATTATATTATATTATATTATATTATATTATATTATATTATATTTCATCATTTCTATAGCATTAGATATAGCGAATTATCACCTATTAATCTAGGCATAACTTACAGACTTATAATATATGAACTGCTGCATTGTAAGTATATTAAAAATATATACGTCAACAACAAAAAATAGACTTTTCTAAACCCATGAGCGTTCAAGTTCATTAGACGAAGCCGAGTGTAGGACTGACATATGTCCACTAGATGGCGCCATGTCATGAAACTCTTCTTCAGACCTGCTGCTCTGAGAAGAACCAGCTACATGAAAAAAAAAAGAATGTACGATTAGTGGAACCCGTATTGTCCCACACAGTTATATATGCATTAAAAGTATTGTTGCTTTTTGACAATGTTCTTGACAATGTAATAGTTTGTAATATATGTTGGTTGAGTACATCAGGAGGACATCTTAGATTGACGACAGAAGACAAAGTTAAAGAGCCAAGGCTGAGGGGTTTTGGGATGCCTTGGATAGAAGATGTTGGAGGAAAAGAGAAAAACCTCAGAGAAGATTTGTGGATGTTGTGAAGGATGACATGCAGAAGGTTGGTGCATATCATATCTGTCACAACGGAAGATGGGTGGAGGAGAATGATGGGGGTTACAGGTGAGATGGAGCCCCCTAAAGCAAGCAGCCAAAAGAAGAAGAAGAAAAAGATACTTGTTAATAGTAAAATCTGGAAATTAATCCAAAATGTGCACATTTTGGATTACTATTAACAAGTATCTTCTTCTTCTTTTGTGGTTTGTGGTTGTTTTTAAAGTGCTTTATAAATAAAGTTGATGATGATGATGATTTACTTTATTAACGCGTTCCTGACCAGGCAGGCGACCAGCTCTTAAGTAAATAACATGGTCTTAGAGCAGGAGGGCAGCAGTTTTACTATAGTATTGTATTTTCCAATTAGTTTTTGACTTTTCTTTTAAATTCAATTTAGTTCACGTCGGCTGATTTTCCTGTTTCAGTTTATTTTTTATTGTTTGAAAATGTTACGTTGTAGTTTAATTTTTACTAGTTTCAGTGTTAGTTTTAGTCTTTTTTCATTACTATTGCATGAAGGGCAACTGCCAGGCACAACCTAGGAAAATCTGACTCATTTGACCCACTGTTGCAGGCATCAAGAGTCTGAATAAACAAAGAGTCTTTATTATTATTAGTAGTAGTATTGTTGTTGTTGTTATAATCAAACTATAAATTAAACCTCATTTTTTAAAATTTGATTTTAGTTACTTTTTTTCAAAAGTTGATTTTATACTTTTAGTTAACTGTCACTGGAATCGAGTTTACTTTGGACTTCTTATTATAATAACCTTGGAAGGCAGTAGATTTTATTTGGTGGATATGATATTATATTCATTGCGCAGTTGTTGTTTTTCCATTTCAGTTTTTTAAATTGTCCTGTTTTAGTTAAATCTCGAGTAATATAGTGCATCCAAGCATGAAAGTGCACGCAAGTTCTTGAAAACCCAAGTCCATAAAGTTAACACACATGTTGAATGAAACTGATAACCAGGTAAACACACATTAAAATACAAAATTGAATAAATAAAATAACTGGCAATGACTCGAGCTGTCCATGGTGTGATATTAAAAGTTAATTTAACACAGCTGTGCAGGCACAATAGTTGGAAAATAAATATTCGTGTTCACTGTAAAATAAAAGTCCCGCTTGTGTAAATGGGTTCCTGTCTTTAATGCCAGTGGAAACCACGTGGTTTTACAGTTTTATTGGCTGAATCATGTTGTGTTTCCATACAATGTTTCTGAAAGCACGGATTTTTTTTTTTAAGTAAATCTGTTCAGAACTGCTCAATGAAAACTTTTGGTTTTGTCACCTTGTTGGGTAAAACGTCACACACACGCTATTACCACGTATTTACACAGTTTAGCCCCACAGCTCAGCGATTTCTCCCATTCAAATCAATGTCACGCCATGTACAGCCATTAAACCAATCCCACTCGTGTAATAATTGTCGTTAGCTCTTATATTTCCTCTCCCTTTAATACACACACGACCCGGCCTGTGTGATTTCGCGTGGATGGAGAAGCTGGCTCGGGGATGGGCCCGTGTTTGGATCTCCATGCGGATGTGACATTTCAGAGAAAAGCGCGACCGCCATTTTGAGATTTACCTCAGACATCACAAACCAAACGGGAGGAGCGGGTTGACGGAGCCGCACAGCTCAGGCTAGCGTTGTATGACCGGGCACATTCTTCACGAGAAGCGAGGGGAATAGCTAGAAATGCAACGAGCTGCAGCAGCGTTTCGTCGTCTGTCGTGTTAGGGCGGTTTGGAGGATTTTGGTTTATGTCGGGCCGCGCAAACTCTCGTCTCCGTGAACTTCTAAATTAACGTTAACATCAGTGCTATTCCGTATTGGGAAGCTGGTTTGAATGGATAGCTTTTTCCTCCGCTCTCCCCCAGACGAGGGACAATCGGAGGAGCACACAGACTGGGGATATCGCAGGCAAAGTTGTTGAATGTGTGTGTGTATAGCAAATGAGCCTTTGTTTTCATTGTCGTACCTTTAATACCATTTGGCTGCCTAGTGTCAGGTAGCTTAGCGCTAGCTTGAAACAGGGTATTTGTACCTGACGGTGCAGGTCGTGCTCAGAGTTCTCTTATTGCCCCACATTTCCCGGGGTAGACCCGGATTGATTTAGCTAATTTCAGCGGGCCTCCGATTTCGGAGTCCCCCCGCCCTCCCCTAATTACATCCATCGCAACCCCTGCCGTCAACCAGCGACTCGCACCCACCAAAGGCGCCGAGATTGGGCGAATAGCGAGCAAATACGTCCGCGTTTCTCTACCCGCTCCCCCGCCGACCTCCCCTCCTCACTCCCCGGCGCTGACAGCGGACAAGGCCGAGTTTGCAACAGAGCAGGCCCGGCCGCCAAGGCTCGACCTGTCCCCACCTCCGCATCCCACTACACCTCACCAGCAGTCCAGAACCCGGTTCCCCACCGAGTCGACCCTGGACAAGGTCGAGGGCAACAGAGAAAACAGGGAACACCGCATCACACCTACAACAACAACACCGCCACCTGCCAACATGAACCACCATCACCACACGCAGCAGCAGCAGCAACAGAAAGCCGGCGAGCAGCAGCTCAGTGAACCGGAGGACATGGAGATGGAAGGTAAGTAATGGCCCCGAATAAAGTGAACGGACTTTTTATTAATCTTTTTTTTACCAGGTTTGTGCCATAAGTTAACATTTGCACGAGAAATGCACGGAATTTTATCCGCATTAACTGAGCCCAACATCTCGGTAAACACGGAGGCCTGCAGCTAGCAGAGATAGCCGGCTGGTTTTTTTTTTTGCTGATTGTGCGTCCGATGCAGCATACTTGTATTCAGCTGACCTCATTTTGCGTTACAAGCAAACCGAGTCCTTAACGATCTTCGTTTGCTTGCGATATTCAGCTGTTTGCAGGTTTATCCAGAACCGGTGGCATTTTCCCCGCACATTGTCGCAGATTAGCCGCATAAATCATTCATTCTGATCGGCAACCGTATCTCCAAATAAACAGTTCATCGGCTTGTTGCTTCGAGATTGCCAAATCACCGCCGTCTAGAATCCGCTTGCACTCTCAGAATTCCGGGTCCGATGCTTGTTGGTGGCCCAAGTGTTTGTAAACAGTCTGCTTAGTGTTGCAATTAACACGGATCCAACGCTAAGGTAAATTAATCTCTCTGCTCTGACTTGGCTGTGTGGGCTTTTGGGGTGATTTTGACAGCTATCGCTAGCTGCGTTCATCACTTCTCCCGCGAATAAAGTAGTGATATATATGTTTTTATTTTTTACTGATAACGTTAAACTTTAGTCTGTTAGTTGTTGTTCGACAAGTGACGTTGGTTCAGCCTCTAACAGTGAGAGCGTGTGCGTTAGCATCGTGTGATTGCTCGTACATTAAATGCTGGTTTCTAAATGGCTAAAGAGATCGGTTGACCATTTGGGTAAAAATATGTTAGGTGTGTCTCCAAAGTTTGACATGTTACCATATTGTAACAGAGTATCTGCTTCACTAACATCCACTTTGCGCGTTACGCCTTGTAAAACGCGAAGAACGGTGCTAGCGCGGCTGCTAATATTGAGCTAGTCAATTAGCTCCAAGGCGCACCTCGTTACGTTCTTTCTCTAGCTAGCATGCTAGCTAGCTAGCCAACTAGTGCACGGAGGGGGTGTGTGGCGTTCCAAAATGGTGGCTTGTATTTTGCATCGTTAAGATTTTGCCTTTTGCCCGAGAGCCGGGCCTTGCATTTTTTTCTCCGAGCTTTTAGCTTGTGTCTAAATTTTATCTCACGGTTATAATTTAGCAGCTGAGGGTAAAATGATTCCTCTAACAGTAAATCTACATCAATAGCTGGTACTTCTTGACTCCAGCTAATGTTGGCTAATAAAGGCCTTGAGGTGAATCTGTGGCTAGTGTTTGCTAAGGTGGCTAACGGGAACGCAGATGCGTCAATCCTGTGTTAGCTAACACACTACATTTTTAGCTATCCCTGCTGAAATTATAACAATGTGGAACACCAAGCGTACATTATCCCGTTTTATGTTAATTTATATCCTGGTATTTAGTGTCGTTACGTGAAACGTGGAGCAACGCTGGCAAGTAACGGTAGTTGCCGCTGCGGTAAGCCAGGCCCGCACAGAGGCAGCGCGGGGATTTGCTGCTTCATTGTATGGAAGACCAAAAGGCATGGAGCTCGCCATTTTTAATGATCTGTTTTTTTTTTTCTTGTTCTTTTTTTTTCGTTTTTGGGGTTCAGTTTGGAGTCCGAGGCGGTCATTTAAGCAGTCTGCACACACAACACCAGCACTACCAGCATTTTTATTAAGTTTACAATGATGTCAACTTGGGGCTGAGTATGGACCAGTGGGCACTTTCACTGCGTCATTCAGACCTTTTAGTTTTACTATGTTTTCACACGCTTTTGCTTGTTATTTGGGAGCACGTATTATACAAATGACCTTAAGCAGTTACATGCATGCTGTGGAGTAAATAAAGAAATGACCAGGCACAACATTTGCATTGTTTGATGATTCATTGTAACACTAATCACTAGTAGCAGGTGCATTTAGCGGACTTCCCCACCCCCTCTCCTATCATACCTTATCCTTAGGTGCACTGAAGCCTTACAAGGACAGTGAAGACAAGTTGACATAACAAACTGCTCACTTTTTCTGGTGCTTCTGACTTCTCTCAGAAGCACCACACACACACACACACACACACACACACACTCCCACACTCCATTTCCGATATGGTATGAGGCGCCATGCAGTTGCAGCCCCACCATCACTCATTTGGCAAAGCTAAATCATTTTGCCTCTTTTTGTGTTTTTGTTTTTTTGTGTGTCTCCGCACTCTAATTTAAAAGCAGGGCTGTTGCTGTCACATAGCTGGCCAAGCTTTTATATGGGTCCCTCTAAAAATTAATATCGAACAATCTTAATGCCTTTATATTCAAAAGGTTCTAAGAAATACAAGACTAAGGGGTACAATTGGCACCTTGGTGAGGACTTAGTATTGTTTATGGGCATTTAGGGCCAGTTTGCTCAAAGTACAGGAACACAGCTTAGTGTGGCCTGATGCAGCAAACTGCATTGTAGCCTCCTAGTGCCAAGTCACTGTAATAAGATCAACCATGCAGTTATAACCTTTTTGGTGTGGGTTAACCACACATCTGGAGTGTTTTTTCCGTTTGCTCAGCATAAAGTTTGTATATTAGAGGAGAAGATTGAGTGTGATTATTGACAAACTTTCATTTGCTACTTTTAGTCCAAAGGATTTCAGCTTCATAAGATTAGAAAAGATTAGCATTTTTTTTCTCTAAAAACTTTTCACTTGAGGGTTACTGCAGCTATAGTGAGACTTAAGCTAAATCACAGGGGTTCATTTTTATTCTCTTTATAGTTTAAGCCAGTCGGGGTAAGCTCTGCAGTCTTGCTCTTTGTGGATTTTTGTCCCATAAGTAAAACACCCAGCTCTTACTGTTGCAGTTTTTGGTGACAGATCCGTTAATAAATACATTTCAGCATAGGTTGACACAGTGGGCGGGACAAAAGGTTGTCATGGAGCTGACTGACGGAGCCCAATAGCATGGTGTAATCTGCTTGGGTAAATGAGGTCAGTCTCCTGGAGGATTCGGTCAGCAGCGTTACCTGTAGACCGACACAGAGGAGTGTCACACGCAAAACTTTGCGCGAGAGACGAGGTGACAAAGCAACCCATTTTGGGACATCACAGGATCCGGGCAGATTTCACTCACTCCTTGAAGTCGATTCAGCGCGCATCTGATTCCCTCATCGGCGTGTTTTGGTAAATTAGACTGTGCGTCGAGCTGCCGAGCTGGGATAATTATTGTCCCCTGTACGCGTGTGTTTTGTCTGAATGATGACTTGCTGCTTAATCCTGCATTGTATCCGTAATTACCCAGCCTACTGTTGGTGTCGCTGGGCCTTTGTTATGCTCATACACACGTATACACACTCACACATTTGCTCTCTGTTGCTCACTCTGTCATACACAGACTGAGAAAGGAGGCTTAAAATCCCGTGTCAGCAGGGTTTTCCCATTAAAGTAAAAGAAGGATCCCCCACTATATATATATATATATATATATATATATATATATATATATATATCAGTTGTGTGACCCAAACGTGAAACTAAAAATGCATTAATGGGAGAATAAGAGGACGCTTAAGCTGTACTTCTCTGTCTACTCACATTGTCCAGATTTGTTATTTTGGGTTAAAATTACAAAATGAACATATAAAAGTACTTGCCACGCTTTATTAATCCTAGAGGGATTTTCGATTGCACGTTCCTGACCTTTTGACACCTGCAAGTTGGGAATGCAGTTTTCAGCCACATTTACCCCAAGTAAAGAGAAAAAAAAGGGGGTGTCTAACATGTTAATCTGTCCAGGAACGCCATATCCATGCAGTCTTATTATGTTGCTTATCTCTCCCTGTGTAGCTGGGGATACAGATGATCCTCCAAGAATCCCCGCCAACCCAGTGATCAATGGTAACGTGGCCATGGCAGACGGACACAACAATACAGAGGAGGACATGGAGGATGGTGAGGATTATGTGCAGCTCTGCAAACGCTTTAGTTTCTTTGAAGCTTTTCGAGTGAAAGAAACTGTAGGTCGTCTGGTTGAAATTACACCTGAAGTTAATGTCTTTATATGTAGTAACTCAAATGCTGACAGCTTGTCAGTGGGAAAACATAAAGACTCTTGTCCATGTTGTTTATTGGCAGTGTATGAATTAAATTTAAACGGTATTTTCTCTAACTTAATGTAATTGTAAGCTCTCTTACTTCTGCCAGTTTTCAGAAGTTGTTTGAAGTAACTTGTAATTATGTCTTTTACATTCTTTAGCGTGAGTTAAACATAACTTATGAGGTTAATAAAAATCAAATGGTGCCGCAGCACTGTGCTGCACCACTGTTGCATCATAGTGGGCAGTTTAGGCTAACCCCTGCTCGACTGCAGCAACCGTCTACTGCCAAAACATGTGGGGTGGAACTTTGTCTCGTATTTCTGTTGTCGGATTGCAGGTGTCCAGGAATAATGACAGTTCTGACCCCAATTATTTGGATCACTGGGCAAATAAAGCAGAAGTGCTGTATCGAATTAAAAGTTCTCAGTGAATCAGAGGGAATCTGTTACACACCAAATCTTCTCCTCCCCCTCTTAACGCGTCACCCTCCCATCTTCTCACAGACACTAGCTGGCGGTCGGAGGCGACCTTCCGGTTCGTGGTGGAGCGCTTCAGCCGCCTGAGCGAGTCAGTGCTCAGCCCGTCCTGCTTTGTCCGGAACCTTCCCTGGAAGATAATGGTGATGCCGCGCTTCTATCCTGACCGACCACACCAGAAGAGCGTGGGCTTCTTCCTGCAGTGTAATGCAGAGTCAGATTCCACGTACGTAAGAGGGATTTGGGATGTGGGCCTTTTGATATAAGCTGTGATTATCAACTCACTTTATGCTCTCTTGGAAATTCTGCTGCTTTGAAAGTTGCAGTAGGTTTTTCTACTGTAAGTCGGGATCAGTGGTGCTGTGAAGAACTTCCTGCAGATGTTTTATCCACTACACCGCTTCGAGGGATGTAGTTTACCTAGAGTCCCGAATTGAAATGTGCCAAAGCTGCAGTAAAAACTCTCAAGTATCTCATGTGATATATGATGTTCTGAGTGAATGAAGTGAAAGTGAGGTTTTAGTGTGTAGCCAGGAGGCCTGACGCACAGTGGTTGTGGTCGTCTCTGGTACCTGGCAGGACCGCAGCAGCTCGGCGCAGTTATCCCATACTGTGAGACTGCAGTGGAAATGCTTTTTATTGCTGTTTTGTAAAATGCAGCTGCTAATGGGAAAACATATTTGTTAAGACTGCACACAGTCAAGTTTGGAGCTGGTGAAATTAGATTAGAACTGGATTTATGTTTTTAATTTAGTGAAAGGTAAAGAGGCAATCCTGCTGCATCGTTTCTGTGCTTTTCGACGTCCTATTAGACAGTCAAAGCTTCTTCCATAGTTTTTCAGCGGCATCTTTCTCTTTCCCAGTTTGCTTAATAGCTGGGACTAGCAAAGCTCTGGTATTTAATGTTAACTTAACTACACAATTAGACCAATTTTAAATACTCTGCTCTTTTTCTTCACTCGTGTCCTATACAGAAGGATACCTGCCAGAGCAGCAGGCAGCCCGCTGTTTGAAGGTTTACACCTATGACATCTTTGTTGTTTTTTTACTGGTGTTGTCAAAATACTTTAAAACATCAGAGCAAATTATTCCTCAAGAAAAAGACGCAGGTTTTGCTCCATTTCACTGTCTGTGTTATAGCTGCAAAAATCCAAACAACATGGCGCAATCATAACTGCTCCTGTAGGTGCATTGATGTAAAGGGGGGCTTGCTTTGATTACTGGAGCACAGTTGGATTGGGAACCTTCTTTCATCATTGCCACACAGTGGTTGTTGAATTATTGTTATCGAGTCGTCGAGACGATTCACATTCGCTGATCGTGGCAGGCTAAAGCCTTCACCACTTTCCCGTCGCTCCCTGTGTGAAGTAGCAGGAGTTGAAACCTGCACAGCTTTCGTGCTCCGACATTACAGCCCAGCCGTCCTGTGTTGCGGTTGGGTATTGCTGCATTAACGGGGTCACAGCTGCTGGTTTTAACCACTGCTCTGGTGGCAACCCAGCTTTTGTTTTCTGTGCCGCTCTTGAGACAAACAGCTGCCAGTTCCCACAATGAAATATCATTTTTCACAATCGAATGTCACTTTTTTTTGCCCTTTTCTTTCTTTTTTTTGTGCAACTCAGCTGCGTAACTTCATTTAGAAAAATGTGCTGGTGGGGGTTGTTGTTTTTAAATATCCTTGTGTGTTTGGGTTTATATTTTCTCTTCTTAATATATCTTTGGTGTGTAAACTGAAAGCTGTGGGAGGGCACAGATGTAAATGTGAGGCTTATAGATTGATTCAGTTTGTAATGCCACTCTGAGTGATGCATAGATGCTGTTGGTGATTTGGGTATATCTTGGTTAATGGTGTGGAAGGATGTAAAATTAGCATCTGATGCTTTATCCTGTTACCGTGCACAACACTGTTTTATGTTTTTCAGTAGCTGAAGTGGAACAGTGTTGGATGGCTTACTTGGCTCATAAGTTTGCACAGGTTGCTGGTCCTGCTCTCCTATGTTTTAACGTCGTAGCCTACGCAGTCTTCTAAATGTGCCGATTTCAGTGCCGCCAAAATGTTCCTGAGGAAATAATACAACTTTTAAACAGTTCTTTAGTATTCAGGTGTCGTGTCTTTGGTGTTTCAGGTCATGGTCTTGCCACGCACAGGCCATGCTAAAGATCATTAACCACAAAGACGACGAGAAGTCATTCAGCCGCAGGATCAGTCACCTGTTCTTCCACAAAGAGAACGATTGGGGTTTCTCCAACTTTATGTCCTGGAGTGTAAGTACACAAACCTGTCAGAAATTAATGTGCTGTTACTTTTGTCAAAGAAACAGTGGAATATTTTTGCTGTGAGTGTTGGTGGGGTTCTTTTTTTCTTCTCGCTCAGCAGTTACCACTTTGTTAACCTTCTGTTTGGGCCTGGTTGTATTCTTTCATTACTACAAATTGCTATTCTTAAAAAGATTAACTGTTTCGCAATGATGCATTTCAGGATGTGACCGATCCAGAGAGGGGCTTCATCGACGACGACAAAGTTACATTCGAAGTCTACGTCCAGGCGGATGCCCCACACGGAGTGGCGTATGTTGTGTTCTATTTGAGTCGTTTATTTTTGTCTTTATAAACTATTTCCCATGTGCATTTTCTCTGTTCTGTTCAGGGTTTATGATTTATAACTAACTGAAGTTTTTGGTCTCTGTAACCAGCTGGGATTCAAAGAAACACACAGGCTATGTTGGACTTAAGAACCAAGGAGCGACCTGCTACATGAACAGCCTGCTACAGACACTCTTCTTCACCAACCAGCTACGACGGGTAAGGTTTTGTTTTGTGGCTTCTAATGACTGTGTGTGGCTGTGGCTGTTTTTCTTATCTGTTATAGGGTTCTTAACATAATAGATTTGATTATTTAAAATACCTTTAAACCCCCTGATTCTCAGCACCACTTTCAATACGGTCATAAAGCTTTTAATTTTTCATCCAAGTAAGAATAAGCAGGTTGTAATGTGACATGAGGCACACAAAGCTCTTAATTCTTGATATAGTAGTTCCACCTTTCAGGTGCTTGGTTAAATGAGTGGATCTTGTATATCGGCTTTCTTGTGTTTATTTCCCCCAAATGCGAAATATTTCCAATAGACACGACTGCTGTTTTCTTTAGCCAACAAGCTCAGTTGTTAAGCTCTGCACGTGCCAACTTTCTACTGCCAAGAAAATGCTACTGACCCAGGGCGAATGACCCTGGTGGAAATGAGCATTGAAACAGTTTCAAATATCATCGTCTACATATTGAAAAATATATATATTTTTATGACATGCATATTTATTTATTTGTAACGTTCTACTATAGTTGCTGCTTTTGTTTCATTGCTCCCATGCTGGCCCTTTTAATTCTACGATCAAAGTGCTTTTTGAAATTTTCCAGTAGCATATCTGGAGTTTAAATATAGTAAATGTTTTCACAAAAATAGTCCAGTCAGCCTAAGATGATTAGTTTTATATAAAAGTTGTAATCCTGGAGCATCCTTATCCTTCCCAGGCGGTCTACATGATGCCCACAGAAGGAGATGACTCCTCTAAGAGTGTCCCCCTGGCACTGCAGAGGGTTTTCTACGAGCTGCAACACAGCGACAAACCGGTTGGCACCAAGAAGCTCACGAAGTCCTTTGGGTAAGTTAGGACTTGCTTAGAATATTATGTGTTGTAAGCAAAACTATTAGATCCTTGCATGCTTGACATGTGGCTCAACCATCAGAATTTCACAATAAGCGTTGTGACGGTTGGTTGTATTCTCTCACTTGGTGTTTGTGTTTTTACGTGCAGGTGGGAAACACTAGATAGCTTCATGCAACATGATGTGCAGGAGCTGTGCAGAGTGGTGAGTTTCCTATACACGTTTAAAAAGGTCCTGTATGCACGGTGAACAACAGCTGACAGTATTTACTGTGTGTGTGTGTGTGTGTGTGTGTGTGTGTGTGTGCAGCTCCTGGACAACGTAGAGAACAAAATGAAAGGCACTTGTGTTGAGGGAACAATCCCAAAGCTCTTCAGAGGAAAGATGGTGGTATGTCATCTCTCTTTCTCCGTCTCTTCCTCCTCTTAGCTGACTCGCCCTTTTAGTTATGGTCATATTTTGCATATCTTTTGTACAATATTGTTCCTATGAGGGGAAATTTATAGTGTTTATTTTGCTCAGTAATGTCTCTGCAGCACGTCTCGCACAGTAGATTCTGTAAACACAGCGACATGATGTAGGCTAACACAGCACAGGATGTAGCCTGGAACAAGGCCAGTTTAAGAATAGACTGAGGGTAAATCAAGACGTGACCCGATGAGAAATAATGTTTCTGACTCGCCTCTCATATCGTATAGTCTGACTCTGTGTGTGTGTGTGTGTGTGTGTGTGTGTGTCACTCTGCAGTCATATATCCAGTGTAAGCATGTGGACTACAGGTCTGAGCGGATAGAGGACTACTATGACATCCAGCTTAGCATAAAAGGAAAGAAGAACAGTGAGTAGCGTAAATGTGGTGTTTTATTGATCAGTGGCACATTTGTCCTGCATGATCATGATTTTCACACACATATCAAAGCGGCGATTTTCTAAATATAATCTTTGCTTCTTTCCAGTCTTTGAGTCATTCAAAGATTATGTGGCAACCGAGCAGTTAGATGGAGACAACAAATATGACGCAGGAGAACACGGGCTGCAGGTGACGTATTTATGCAATTTGTTGGCTCTTGTTGCTTTCATGCTGTTGGTATTGAAGCAAAGTGGACTAAAATTTTAGTTTTTATATGTCATTGTGAAAAAATATTTGGTGTTCCAAAAATTAGACGTGTTCAAATGGATCAGTAGGTTTCCGGTTTTTCTTGCCAAGCTACAGAAATATGTAGCTCTAAAAATAAGATCTGGAGCTTGTTTACCTGCCTTGTTTTGATATGGTTTAAATGAGCAGCCTAAAGCTGAAAGGGTTTATAATGGCAGGATTAATGTCAATGGGATGTCCTCACCAGATGTCTGACTCATTTTTGTTTTGCGTCGCAGGAAGCAGAAAAGGGAGTGAAGTTCCTCACCTTCCCTCCGATCCTCCATCTGCAGCTGATGAGGTTCATGTACGACCCACAGACCGACCAAAACATCAAGATCAATGACAGGTAAGGAAAAAAACAAGCTGATGCTTTAAAAATAGTTTTTGAAGTAAGGTTACTTGTGAATTACTGTGCAGAACGCACCCTGATCACTCCCCGTCACACAATGAGACAGTAACTGTGCTGCTCGAATGTAATTTTAGAGAAGGTCTGCTTCATTGTAGCATAGGTTAAAGGAGGAATGTCACTTGAGCTTTACACTCGTGAAAAGCTTGCCCTGACCTCGCTTATTCAGACGGTGAGAAAGGAACCAAGATTGTTTTCTTTGCCATCAATCTGTGTACAGTTAATGGTGTTAAAAATAAAATCCAGCAGAAATAATGTGACACTTGTAGCAAACGCTACCATTTAGAAGTGCTAACTTTCTGCTGTGCCATTTCGATGAGCTCTGACTCATCCTTGTGATGATGCTACGGCCAACTGGCATCCTGAGGGCTTTGTATACGTACATGGAGACACAGGTGTGGGTGTGGAATGACAGTAGTTTTGAATATGCTCAAGTTTACTCTTGATTTCTTCCATTTTTATGCTACTTTTTGGCTGATATTTGACCCTTTTTGTATTAATCTACACATTGTTTTTTCACATTATTTGTTTTTTATTTCTACCTTTCCATTATTTTAAATACTGCTGCTTACCTCATCCTTTTTTTTTTTTTTTCCTTCTCAATTTCTTTGTCTCTAACGCCTCGCCATCTTTCTGTGCTCATTAGATTTGAGTTTCCAGACCAGTTACCTCTGGACGAGTTCCTCCAGAAGCCAGACTCAAAGGACCCAGCCAACTACATCCTCCACGCTGTGCTAGTCCACAGCGGGGACAACCATGGCGGTCACTACGTCGTCTATCTTAACCCCAAAGGAGACGGCAAAGTGAGTGTCAAGGATCCAATAGTGAGAACAATTTTTTTTCTGCACTTTTCACCAAAAATGCTCAAATTTACAAAAAAACAAAAAGGAGTTTATGTTGTGGAGGAATTCAGAGCTATGTTATCTTGGCTCTTGACCTTAAGTGTTTATTAATTACATACAGCTGCATGCATTAAGATCCAAGGGTTAGAGTCAGAATAAGTGCCTCCCAGGTCTGCAGTGATTATTATACTGAAAATGACAGAACACACAAGCTTCCCGACAGGTGAGACGATATCACCTAATGTAAGAAAAGGGATGTTTCACAATTTAGATGTTTAGTGGAATAAACGCTGTCAGAAAAGATGTGTTAGTGTAAAGAGTCGGATGTAAACACGAGCTCTCAGCTCAGACTCTTAATCTCATACTCATCGAGTAAACCCCTCTGATATACACATATCAGTGTGATGTTACATTAATTCTGCATTTAGGTTTGTGTGACAATGATTGTCTTAAGTGCTCTCTGGTTTTTCTCTTTTTTCCCCTCCACTCCAATCCTTGGTGGTTGCCCCACCCGTATCTCGCCTCTGCTCCTCATCCTCCTCTGGCTTCCTCTGGCTGGGACCCCATCCTGCAATCACCATCTGTCTCCGTCTATCATTCTGTCTCTTTCTGCAGTGGTGCAAGTTTGATGATGACGTAGTGTCACGATGCACCAAGGAGGAGGCCATAGAACACAACTACGGCGGACACGACGATGACCTCTCCGTCCGCCACTGCACCAACGCGTACATGTTGGTCTACATCCGTGAGTCCAAGCTCAGTAAGTAAACATCCGTCCTTCTTCACTCGTCATTTGAAAAACATCGGTATGAGAAACTTTCCCAGCAACACATGAAGGGTTCCTCTGAGCTGATGAGTGCAAATAAAATTCCTGTTTCACATGGAGGTGACTGTAGTGAATAATACTGTTGTACTAAATTATCACTTCTGCTGTTTTACCCACACTCAGGCGAGGTGCTCCAGCCGATGACCGACGTGGACATCCCCCAGCAACTGGTGGAGCGTCTGCAGGAGGAGAAGAGGGTGGAGGCACAGAAGAGGAAGGAACGCCAAGAGGCTCACCTCTACATGCAGGTCCAGGTAGGGAATCGGAGGTTATTTAAGCGCTCTGTGGTGCTTTGATACTTTGCGATCAAAATACTTGGGTGGCTGAATAATTTAGTATACAGCACATGAGAAACCTACAGTGTAGGAAGTACAGGAGAAAATTGAAGCTGTGTTTGTGGATTTCAGGTAGAGCCACATTTGTGTCGAAACACCACACCTAGCAGCTTGTGCCGTTTTACGCCGTCATACTGTAATCTGGATGGTTTGGTGTTTATTGCTTAAAGTGTGTAAAGGTGTAGGACTTCGTACGGTACTTCTCGGATTATTTATTCATATTAATCAGTGTATTTGTTCTGTTGAAGCTCGAACTTGAACCCAATAAAGTCGACCTCCATAAGAGGCCTGACAGAAACAGCTTAGTTCGTGAGAAGCTATGCAAAGTATAACATCGTGCACCTTTAGACGGGGCAGATATGTTTCATAGGTGGATGAATGCTGGATTTCAGTGCGATAAGAATGAACTGTTTTGCCTTTTTGAAAACGAGTAATGACGTTTAGACATTTATGTTGGATCGGATCGTCGGGCTAACGACGGGCCGGAAAACGGAAGCTTCTTCTTTCTGTCAAGCAAAGTGTTCGAGTGTTTTGTTGGACTCGGTGTAACCTACAAGCGGCACGCACAACTGCAGGTCTTCTCGCTCTGGTTTGGCGGTCTCTGTGTGGTTGAGATGGGGAGAAGAGCAGTCAGTGATAATGAGGAAATGGCTTGTTAAATGATAAAGGTTTACCCTTTTCAGCACTGACTTACTTACTTGTTCGAGTATTAAGGCAGCACAAAGGCTAATTACGCTCATTATTTTCCTCTGAAGAGGTGATAAGCGTAACATTTAAAGGCTGTAATGAGGCTGTGTGAAACTTTGCTTTGCACTTTGCCTGTAAGCCATCAGAACTGACACCTCATTGAAAGTCTTAGCAGTGGAGCACCCCTCTAAACAGAAAGCTCTACATAATTATGATTTCTTGTGTGTGTGTGTGTGTGTGTGTGTGTGTGTGCGTGTGTGTGTGACAAGCAGATTGCTTAGACAAAAGCTTAAAAGACTTTTGATGCTGTTAGCTACTGACTGCTGCAGTGAAATGTCACCACCAGTGTGGATACAAAGAATGAAGCTCTTGCTTTGTCGAGATCTAGAGATAACTTGGGTGTGGGGGAGTGAGTTTTCATTGCATGAAGTCTTTAGTCTCTTATTTTTCACACTTTGGTTCTTGTTCCAGTTATACTAATGCTGTTCATCTTCCTTCTCTGGGCAGATGGTGACCGAGGACCAGTTTTGCGGTCATCAGGGCAACGACATGTACGACGAGGAGAAAGTGAAGTACACGGTCTTCAAGGTCCTGAAGAGCTCCACGCTGCAAGAGTTTGTCCAGAACCTCTCCCAGACCATGGTGAGGCATCTGTGGGACTGTATGCTCTTTGATGGTGATGGATATTTGGATGAAATTTCTAACTTTTTTTTTTTAATTAAAGAATAAAATAAACCATTTAAGATTAACTGCGAAGAGTTTTAGTTTGTAGATTTCAAGGTGCATGAAATGTTTAGTCAGTAAACTTATCTTTCATCAAAGTAACTTGTGCTTGGTGGAAGTTTAATATTTGTGAAAGAAACCGCATTCACGCACATGCTGTGTCTCAGGTTCACACTCAGAGCCCAGGCTGAAAGAGAGGGCTTGTTAGCTTGTCAACACACATGTACACACACTTGCTTAAATTCTGGCTCCCTGCGGTTGATCAGTAAATACCAGTTGGAAATTTTAGTCTTGATGTCTTTTTCTCAACACGTTTCTGCTTTTCCCACATCTTATACGCAAATTGAAACTGTATTGATGTGCCGCAGGGTTTTCCACAGGACCAGATGAGGCTCTGGCCCATGCAGGCCCGTAGCAACGGAACCAAGCGACCTGCCATGCTCGACTACGAGGCCGATTGCAACAAGTCGGTAGGTGTTTGCACCTGTGGCACACATCTTCAAAAATTCCTGTATGCTTTAGCCAGGTTTTTTTTTGCATTAAAATAATGAAAGAAAGCTGCCAGTGAACCAGAACAACTGTGCTAAGATCAGTTCAAAAATATGCAGGATTTAGAGCACGGGTTCTAGAAGGAACTATCACTCCCTGAATTATTTTTTTTATGAATCATTATCTAAATTGAGTTTAATTTGAATCCCTGGATAACTACTCCATGTATAGAATCACCTGTCAAATCTCTCTCTTTTTAAAAAAAATAAAAAAAATAAAAAAATCCTCAGTTTGTTTACAAGTCTTTTTTTCTTTACAAGTTTTCCGTATAATGCAACAGTTTTATGTCACTTTAATTCCTGGGACCACTCCTGAGTTTATGACTCACTTAAATGTAACATAAGAAACTTTTTTTAAAGATTGGAACATTTTTGTGTTTCAGATGATCGACTTGAGTGACAATGAGAACCCCTGGACAATATTTTTGGAGACTGTAGATCCAGAGATGGCAGCCAGTGGGGCCACGTTACCCAAGTTTGATAAAGACCGTAAGTTCTCCATCCATCGGCGCTCATCATCAGACTTTGAGTCTTAGCACTTTCTTTTCTCTAAACTTTTAAAATATCATTTTTGTAGAAAACATGTTCTTCAGGTGTCAGTCTTTGATTCCACTTACATAGCTGCCTGCGTTGGTACCGTGTAGATAAGAATAATCGACACAATGCCTTAGAGGTCACAGTCATAAACGTAGAGTACTAGTTACTCAGTAACATAGTTACTGATCGGTTTGAATGTTGATGGGTTTGTTCTGAGTGTTTATGATTATTAACACTGTGTTTAGCTGCTGATTAAAGGCTCTGGCATGCTACTGTTTGTAGTGCGATGTTGTAGCTGCCTGCTGCCACTTGGGGTCAACGTCAGAGACATGCGAGGAAAACGCAAATGTAGTTTACGTGGTGTTGGTGATCCTTGTGGTTTGTGAAAAACAACTTTCATAGTGGAACTAAGTGAACCCGAAGGCTGCAAACGCTTGGACGTATCTCTTTGTTTCTCAGTTCGCTCAATCTTTCCCTTTGCATAGCTGGAGAACTGCACCAACAGACACAAATGCAGAACCATAAGTGGCGTTTTGTGCTTTGTTTAGTGTTTCAGTTGAACAATATTTATGCAAATTGAAGCTATACTGCTCCTCAACCACTTCTTTGGCAGGCGTGTTGTATAGCTGCTGATTTCACCTTGCCCTGTTTTGTTTTTCTCTTCTAGATGATGTCATGTTGTTCTTGAAGATGTATGACCCCAAAACCAGAAGCTTAAATTATTGTGGACATATCTACACACCTATATCCTGCAAAATAAGTAAGCGTGACTCTGTTATAACCTCAGTACCCTGTCATAAGGTGCAGTGTGTGAATTCTTCGTCTGCAGTGAACGTAAAGATTTTGAGATTTTTCTCTGCTTCTCTTTTTTCCCTCTAACCAGGAGACCTGCTGCCAGTCATGTGTGAGAGAGCAGGATTTCAGCAGGAAACTAGCCTTATCCTCTATGAGGTGATCTATTCTGTGACGCCCAGTCGCTGACACACTCCTGTCTTTTTCTCACTTGCTCCCTCACACTCTCACATTCTCAGGCTCCTCTATCTGGCACAGAAGCTGTGTTAGGCTCTCATGTGCACACTTGCACTCTGTCATATGTAGGCCTTGGTACATACATACATCTGCCACAAAAATAAATACTCTCTTGCACTTAGCAGATAAATTGACTGCATAACCCCCGATGCTTGGTGTGTTACAGGAAGTAAAGCCCAATCTAACAGAGCGGATACAGGACTATGATGTCTCTCTGGACAAGGCCCTGGACGAGCTCATGGACGGGGACATCATTGTCTTCCAGAAGTAAGTTGTTTTGGGGGGTTTTGGCACTTGTGCTTTGAGAAATCTGCCAAATTGATATCTTGGTGCGTTTCACATTGGGAGCTTTGCCAGATTATAAGAACTTCCCGAGGTCGACACGCTTCAAGTTGCCTTCGTTTTAAATGTCTCTCTTTGATGACGCTCTGGTTGAGAAATTGTTGCAGAACTTGTTAGCTTTACTTGTTATGTCTGTGCCCTCATTTACTTCTTGACCTGCGCTTTCTGTCCTTGACCTTTACCTTCACTTCACTCACACTTCCCTCTGTCACACTGATCTCTGTTTTCCCGTCATTACAACACAACCCGTACCTCAAACTGTCTTTCCAACCTTTCTCCAACACCACAGGGACGACCCAGAGAACGACAGCAGCGAGCTGCCTACGGCCAAGGACTACTTCCGGGATCTCTACCACCGGGTGGACGTCATTTTCTGCGACAAGACCATCCACAACGACCCCGGCTTTGTGGTCACACTGTCGAACCGCATGAACTATTTTCAGGTACGATCGGTTGAGGTTCTTTGGATGAATATTGATGAACTCTTATTATTTTTAAAAAATACTCATGTGAAGCTGCCGAGTCATTATACGAAGACTGATTTTTATTTTTTGCTGCTACTGTTAATCCGGGAGTGGATTTCTGCTGCCCCCCACCCCCTCCACCTGCTAGCATTAAATTTGATTGACAGGTGAAATCTGACAGGCCCGTCATGAACTGTCTGTTTTTGTGTTTGTCAGGTGGCTAAGACTGTAGCGCAGAGGTTGAACACAGATCCCATGCTACTGCAGTTCTTCAAGTCACAGGGGTAGGAGGCTTGTCTCATCCACACTCACACACACACACACACACACACACACACAC